ATTATAATTATAAGTTTCTAACAGGCTCAGGCTGGCCTAACAGGCTTAACAGGCCTTTTAGAGAGCCTAAGCCTGGCCTATTAACTTAAACAGGCCTTCAAACAGGCCTGAGCCTGTCTCTTTTAGAAAACAGGCCAGGCCAGGCCAGGCCAAATACAGGCCAGGCTGTAGGCCCCTGACAGGCCACCTGGTCTATTTCCACCCCTAGGGGTACTGGATGCACATTAACCCTTTTTTTAACGTATTTTAATTTTATTCCTTCACGAGGCTTTACATGCATTTTTAATATCATCGCGTTAATACTTTTCAAATTATAAATTTTATCGCATTTATCTTTTAGATATTTATTTTTACTTTTTACCTTTGAACTCTGTATATCTTATTTTAATTTTACTACTGTTTTTCCTCCTTTAAATTATTTTGCGAAACTTTTTTTATATTATAGTTTTCATTAATATTTCTCAAAATAATTGACACATAAGTAGAAAAATAATAATTTAATTATTACAAGTTGAGTCATGATTTGGATGTGGTCTGACCATTAAAAGCCATTGCCTCAACCACCTTAATTTTTATTCTAATTTTGAAGACATCGGTTATTGTCTATTTAATTAATTAATGTTTTTGTGCATTTTAAAATTACCTAAATGTTGAGAAACCAGTATAATATAAAAAGATGTATAAATATAAAAAGGTTAATACAAACTTTAGTCCTTTAAATTTGTTCTAATTTTGATTTTAGTCCATCAAATTTCAAATTATAGGTTTTAGTTCCTCAAATTTTTTTTTTCATTTAAAATATTAGTCCCTATGATCCAATAAAAATTTAGACTATTTTGCCCCTTGAGGGACCAAAACATATAGTTTGAAATTTGAGAAACTAAAACCAAAATGAGTACAAACTTAAAGAACCAAATATTATATTAACCCAAATATAAATAAGGACACATAGGCAGGTTACATAGGGTTAATACTAGTCTTTATAATTTGATAAAATTTTAATTTTAATTCCTATCATGGTTTTTTGTTCCTAAAATTTCATAAGAAATTGACTTGAGTTTAGCAGTGTTAATTTTTAATCAACACTATTCTTAAGTATATAGAACAGAATTATCGGGAAAAAAAGACCAAATTTAGAATTTGTTATGAGATTATATAAACTAAAAAATACTATTTAGAATTATAAAGATTAACATTAAAATTTGATCAAAGTATAAAATCAACAATAATATTGACAAAAAAAACCAACAAACACAAGGAACTGAATTAAGTATAACAAGAAAAAAGACAAGTGGAAATAAAAAGAAAAAAATTCTTCTACAGGCTGTAACGGAATAAAGCATTAAATATATGAATGTACTAGCCCGAGCTGGAACTGATCGCCGTTGAAAGTTACGTGGCGGCTGACAAACACGTGATTATATTGCTCATTATGGTATTTTTTATAAATTTAAATTTAAACTTATCTTAATATTTAATGTATTTTTGTCAATATTACTCTTGATTATTTTTTTATCATATTTTTTCACGCATTGTCTTTAATTATTTTTTTATTTATTATAATGATATATTTGAAAACAAAATTTAATTAATTCTTTATTACTCATAAATTTTTAGTTATTTAAAGTTTATAAGATTAATATACTCTTCTGGTCTTAAATATAAGACCCTTATACTAGTGTATAAGGGTCTTATATTTAAGACCAAAGGAGCATTGGCAGTGATACATTGCCCCCTGACAGCCTAAAACACGTGATTATATTGCTGATTACTGATTAGCCCACGTGATTTTAGAATCTGAGGACTATTATATGGTTGCCATCTATTCCTAGCAATAATAACAACGACACCTTGGCCCGAAAAAGCGACCCGGTATGGGGGTATTTTCATTTTGCGGGGACGCACAACAGTACAAAACAACGCGTGATATGTGTGAGTGTCCATATATCATAGGGAAAGGGCGAATCCTTTAAAATTAATTCAGAAGGAGTGTGGTATTTTTATAAATCTAAATTTAAACTTATCTTAATATTCAATGTATTTTTGTCAATATTACTTTTAATTTTTTTGTCATATTTTTTCACGCATTGTCGTTAATTATTTTTTTCATTTATTATAATGATATATTCGAAAACAAATTTTAATTAATTCTTTATTACTCACAAATTTTTAGTTATTTAAAGTTTATAATATTAATATATTAACAGTAATACATTGCCCCCTGACAGCCTAAGACTCGTAGTCCAATGGTCATCTTTGTTTTTTCTTAATTAAAAAATAAAAAAAAACCCGCATAAATCAAAATCCCAGTTTCCGGGCATATCATTGGTGCCTTCTTTCATTAAATTAACCGCATCCCAGCAGTCACTCTTCAAATAAACTTGGCTATCTGTCCCCTATCTCATGCTCGTCTTTTTTCTTTTTTTTTTACGCAAAGACAAAATGACATTTATAATATAAATATTTACAACTTACAAACACTTAACAATTCTATTATAGCATAATTAAAATTAAGAAGATTCAGAAAAAACATTGATACTAGATGAGAAATTATGGGTAAGAGCAAGAATTTCTTGCCACGTGATATTGGGTAAGCATATTAGTCTATGGCTCTGTTTGGATAGCACCCCAAACCATGGTTTGGGGAAAATGCTACCCAAACAGCCTCTCCAAAAACCAAAACCATGGTTTTGGGTCAAAACCATGGTTTTGACTCCAAAACCATGGTTTTGGAAAAAGCAAAATTTTTTTGCTTTTGGAGAAAAAAGGGAGAGTGTGAAGGCCTATATGATATGTATTTTGTTATTTTTTTTATAAACATATTTTTTTATAAATATATTTAATCTTATATTTTATAAATATATATAGACATTAATTATTTATTAATATATTATCTTATGTATTATTAATTATGTTGGTAAAAAACATATTATTAACAATTTTATTTTTTCAAATTAAAATATATCATAAAATCTATTTTTTCTGTAATTATCATATTAACTTATGTCTTTTTTTTAGTAATTTATATATATAAAAAGTGCTTCTGATAACAACTATCCAAATACTCTCACTTCTCAGAATCACTTTTTTACAAAATCTATTCTTCACAGAATCTATTTTTTCCAGAATCTATTCTCCAGAATCACTTTTCCAAACCACGATTTAGTTTCATCCAAACACACCCTATGAGTGAGATAATTCAAACTTTTCTTGTTCAATTTAATCAGTGAAGAAATAAACCAATTCCTAAATTCTTTAAAAGAAGTAGGAATTTTAATGTCCGAACCAACTAGCTCCAGAAAAAAGACAAAAAATAAACAGATGATCTGAAGTCTTTTTTAAGTCACAACCAAACATACATAAGTGTTGAGGTGGTGGTTCTTGAGAATATCAGTTGTGAGTAGAGTTTATGCGTGAGTTTTCAAATAAAAAACAGCTGTTTATATGACATATTTAATTTCCAAAGGAGGTTCCAAAATTCTACAGGTGCTGTGAAAACAATGTCTGAGGAAGCCCATAAAAGTTTGACGCTGACCAAGGGGGTGTTTGTCAATGTGATGAAACCATGGTTTGGGCTTCAAATTTGTCAAACAGGGAGGAAAATTAGTAAACCGCGGTTTCAGGAAAAGTGAATCCATTTTGCTTATAGTTTAAATTAGAGAGTATGATTGTGCCTGTCAGAGTAGATTTCAATGATAATATGACTTAACACCCCTCAATTTTTTTATAAACATATTTAATCTTATATTTTATAAATATACACATATTAATTAATTATTAATTATATTATTTTATGTATTATAAATATGTTGGTAAAAAAATATATTATTAACAATTTTATTCATTCAATTTAAAATATATCATAAAACTTATCTTTTATGTAATTATCATATTAACTTATACCCTTTTTAGTAATGTGTATAATAAAAGTGCTTCTGATAACAATTATCCAAACACTCTCACTTTTCAGAATCACTTTTTTACAAAATCTATTCTTCCCAGAATCTATACTCCAGAAGCTATTCTCCAAATCATGGTTTGGTTTCATCCAAACAACCCCAAGTAGGCCTCAAAAGAATTTCCATTCCAAGTGAGTTTATCAGGAAAATTCAAAATGGAGCCTAGTAATCTAAGAATTTGCTTACCAATGTATTCAGGGTAAACTGACCCCATCTCATGCTCGTGGAAGTCCGAAAAGGCACGCCCAAAGTTCTGCAAATAAAGGATCTCCATCCGAGAAGCTGAGCATGAAGGCTTCAAGTCAAGCACCTCGATTATTTCGACAGCAACAGTATTTAACTTCGTGCAATTAAATATCCTTATTTTGTCTCATGCTCCCCTTAATTATTTTTACGGAAGAGAGGATAAATCAGTAAAAGGAAAAAAAATCATGCTAGCCAGGTCAATAGAATTCTAAAGCCGGCAACACTTTGAAAGATGGAGATTATTCTATGTAGAAGACGCAGATATGAATGAATAAGGATGGTTCAGGGAGCAATGACGTGGACGCACACACATGAAGCGGAGTTCAATTTTAACAAGGTTGCTGTGCAAAGAAGGTAACGGGGGATGAGACCTATGTCTTAAGCGGCTTCACTTACACTCTCGCATCCATGAATAGTACGATTCTGATTTTGGTTGAGAGTTGTTTTCGTTCTTTTCCCTGTTTTCTTTTTCGTTTTTGCAATTTCTCTCGCATTAAAAAAAGTCCATAATGTGATTTCATGCATTTTTTTTTTAAAAAAAAAAGAGGATTTGTCCCCAAAAAGATGGCATTATTCATAGAGGCAGATGGTATTATATCAATAGACGGAGATTAAACTCCCCCATGAACAAAGCCACAGCAAGACGATAAAAGAACAACAAAACGTCAAAGACGACAGAAAAAAAGTAAAACTCAAGAAAGCGCTCTTAAGTCCGAAGAGCATCATACTTCAGTTGACTTCTAGAAATCATATTGGGCAAGGCGGGTCGTATCTCCCACCGTCAAGTTAAGAAACGAACCCATCTGACTCAGGAAGCCAGGCCCTTTTGGGCCCTGCCGATAATGGTGACCTGATAAAGAACTCGTAAAAGGAACCTTCTTTCACGCTAAGATTCGATGCTCTTGAAATGAAATATGGCTGTGGGAGAAGCAGAGCATCCCTTGCTACGGCCGGCGCTGCCACAGAACACGCAAGAGCATAATCATCGTCTGTGTCTCCTCCGACGAACATGTTTAGAATCAAAGAAGATCTGGCAAATAGCAGGTCCTTCCATCTTCAGCCGCCTTGTCTTGTTCTCCATGACTGTTATCACTCAGTCTTTCGCTGGCCACCTCGGTGAACTCGATCTCGCCGCTATTTCTATTGCATGTACCTTCTTTATCTCAATCAGCTTCGGTTTCTTGGTAAAACCTTCTTCCTCTCAGTCTCAATCTGAGTTATTGTGAATTTCGCCCACAATTTAAGTCAGGGATGGGTGTTCAATTGTCTTGTCTAGCTCGGCATGGCGAGTGCGCTCGAGACCCTCTGTGGCCAAGCCTACGGGGCCAAACAATACCGCATGTTGGGCATTTATATGCAACGTTCCTGGATAGTTCTGTTCCTATCGTCGATTTTGTTACTGCCCATGTTCATTTTTGCGGAGCCCATATTGAAGCTCCTCGGGCAACCCAATGGAGTGGCGGAGCAAACAGGTTTGGTGGCGATTTGGCTGGTTCCATTTCACCTGAGCTTCCCATTTCAGTTCACATTGCAGAGGTTCTTGCAAAGCCAGCTGAAGACAGCTGTCATAGCATGGGTTTCTGGGATAGCTCTCGCAATCCATGCACTTATAAGCTGGGTTCTGGTTTACAAGATGAAAGTTGGGATTGTCGGGACTGCGCTTACTCTCGATTTCTCGTGGTGGGTGTCAGTTGTGGGTCTCTGGGGTTATGTTGTTTTTGGTGGGTGTCCGAATGCATGGAATGGTTTTTCTGTCGAAGCTTTTGTTGGCCTCTGGGAATTTTTCAAACTCTCTGTGGCTTCTGGGGTTATGCTCTCGTAAGTACTTAACACTGGCCCTTCTCCCTCTGCGTTTTGAATCTTTGAAAGTGGGTGCGATTGTTAGAAGGCATGAGTGCAAAATTGCAGATTGGAGAACTTCTACTACAGATTGTTGGTTATAATGTCAGGATATATGCACAACGCCGAAGTCGCAGTTGATGCTCTTTCCATCTGGTAAGTTTCTATTTATAGCCGTTCTCATCACAACTACTCTATATTCAATTCCTTGCCTCTTTTCCAACCTCTGATCTTGTTTGGCAGTGTAACTATCTATGGTTGGGAATCTATGATACCGCTAGGATTCTTGGCTGCAACAGGGTATGTCCTCGGTTATAAGTGTCGCTTTCTCTTTCTGTCGTAGGACATATACTAAATAATCGATGGTTGTAAGGGGAAAAACTTAGATAGAAAAGTTGATCGTATGGTGAGATCATTGGCATGATTGCAAAAGGACTGAGTTGCACCAAATATAGATTTAATCAGTGATTGGAAGAGTCAGCTTCACAAGCAGAACATGTCTTCTATTCTTCCATTGGCATAAAGATTAACTAACAGATGATTTTTGTTAAGCGGTTTGCGCATTAGGCATCCAAACGAATAGTCCGTCACTCATAAACAAGCATGTTGACTATAATCAGCACTTTTTTTTTTCCAGTAGAGCCCTAGGACTTATTATGATATCAACGATAGTAAATGATTGGTTCATATGTTTGCCGCAAGTAATAACCACTTATACAAAACCAGTTAGTGATCACTCCTATCCAGAACATTTGACATCCTTAAATTCAGGGTGCGTGTATCAAATGAGCTTGGAGCAGGCAATGCAAAAGGTGCAAAATTTGCGGCTTTGGTATCAGTGGTGAATACTTTGGTGGTGGGATCTATATCTTGGTTGATAGTTATGGTGTTTAATGAGAAGCTTGCCTTGATCTTCACAACAAGCTTACCTGTTCTCAGAATGGTCAATGAGCTAGCAATCCTGTTGGCTTTTACAATTCTCCTGAACTGCTTGCAGCCAGTTCTTTCAGGTGAGAAATCAGACGCTATTTGCTTTTGATGGGACCCAAACTGAAAATGCTATTAAAATGATAGTATAAACCAGAGAACTACAAGGGAAATGACAGAAAACACGCACTCGCCCACTTACTGGTTACCTAGCATTTGAGAGGCTAGAGTCTCACCCATACGACAGTCACTCACAGTTTGCTTGCCTCCCAACGAACCTCCAGACTTCCTTGACAATCCCCCCCATTCCCACATACTCTATCTCTTCCACTCACCCCCCATTCCTCACTCATGTCTGGGCCAAAACCCAGAATGCCATCTTTTATCCTTATTCTCATGTTATAGCCACATGACATCTTTGGCCCAAAAGCTGTGGGTTCATTACCTTCCAATCTTGTGAACTGGGGACACGATTTCTAAATGGAGCCTCTAGAGAGTAGTTCATACAGCAGAAAAAACTCAAAATTTAATTAAGAAAAATATAGATACATTTATAAATAAAAATTTCAACTTTTAATCCTTTTTGGTTTTCTTTCTGGGACCTGAAATTATTGATCTTTAACACTTATCATTCAGTGTATCATTAGTGTATCTATTTTTGTGCTTTCACTTCTCACAGCGTAAATTTCTAATGTTGCATCACATGGTGGCATGTGCTGATATGCAGGAGTAGCAGTTGGATGTGGTTGGCAAGCTCTGGTGGCTTATATAAACATGGGTAGTTACTACTTGGTGGGGATACCTCTTGGTATTCTCCTGGGCTGGTTGTTACCTTGGGATCTTACTGTACGTGTACTGTTGCTGTTATCGAAGTTACTACAATATCATTGTTGTATTATGATATCAATGCCGCACTTTATTCCCAGCTCCTTCTGGTTTTTAATTGTGATATTTTTTTTCATTGTCAGGGCATGTGGACTGGAATGTTGGGTGGAACAATCGTTCAAACTTTGATTTTGGTTGCCATTACCATGAGGTGCGATTGGGAAAAAGAGGTAACGAAGCTTGGGACCATTTGGAAAGTACTACGTTTTCAATTCTGGGAGGCTAGCATATTTAGCTATGGGGGTTACTTTGTCACGTACAGGCGCGCAAAGCAGAGATTCTTATCCGGAATGAAGCGGCTCTGGCCCAATAATAGCTGGAAAACATGGTGATTTATATTATAAATTGGGCAAAAGTTATTCAAATTTGTTGACAGGAAAGGGCAGAAATCGCCAAACGGGGTATCATCAATGATTCTGGCAGTATATCATCAACGGCTTTGATTTTTCCCAATGAAGGGACATGGAATAGAGTAGTATGGACGACCTCATTTTACTTTCCTGGAGGTTGGCACGCCATTCAATTTCATCTCATTTGCCCAAGCAATATGCTTAGACCGTTAGGTAGACTTGCCTTGGGGAGTGAACTTGGTTAAGTTATTTCCAGCTCTTGTATGTTGCGAAAATATTGTGTCAGTTTCATGTATGTTGGCACGCTGGTGTTTGGCAGGTTCTTTTGTTTATTTCTTTTTACCTACGAAGATAACATTGAGAATGGGAACCAAATAAACGATATATTTTACACTCGAAGCATATATTTGTCTTCCTCAATTGCTCAAATATGCGATCAACTGTACTTAGAAGTTTCAGCGATTCGTTCCCCGGAAAAGACTGGGTTTCTGCAATTCTTAAAAGTGCTCATTATCATCGATATGTTTAAAAGAAATCGAATATATAATTTATTAGTCTGTTGACATGTTTTTGTTATTGACTAACATAACTCTTCACTAATAAAAGGAAAACGATACTTGATGTCTTTTTCGCATAATAAATAATTTGTAGTTCTGTTTTGGCCAATTGTTGTAGTCTATACTTATTAATTATGAATAATGATAATATTTTAACTTGTTCGCTAAGGCCTCGCATATCATTATTATCTCTATGTCACTGTCGGAGTGTGGCCATTTTAAAAAGTATTTGTTGAAGAAGAATGGCGAGTGGAGGGCGGGGAGTGTTCCTTCTTTCTTTCTTGGTGGCGTGATGAGAGTCAACTATTCCATAGCCGCTCGTCCTAAACCAACAGCTATCATAGTATTCAATAGTGCAGCTTTTTATTAACGCCGATAACTGCCCAAAATAGGGTGGCGCTGAGAGCTCCTATGACGGTCAAATTAAATGGGAAGCGGTGAGAAAGTAATGAGCGTAAACGACCTAAACCAGTCAACAGGGGCAAAGAGGCATATCATTGTGATCTCAAAATATATAATTTGCATTTTGCAGCATGAGCCCCATTTGTGAGCCGTCGGTTCCCTTCATCCTAATTAAAACATTTTTTCGAAAAAAAAATGTCATGGATATTAGTACTAAATCAAAACAAAATCCTAGAGTATTAGAGTTCGGATGCTATAAATAGTCCGGACTGACATGCTCCGATTCAAAACTGACTCGTGGAACCGAAGAAGGAGAAGGGGAATTAAGAGCCAGGGCGCAGCATAGCTGCTACGTTTCCGGAGCCGTCGCCATAATTTTAACTTTTAAGACGAAGTAGGGAGCAAGATCCACAACCCATGGAAACCGTGACGAGCCATGCAGACGACGACGATCTCAGCCAAACTCTCCTCCCAGAAAAAGAAACATTTGCCAGAAAGCTCTGGGTTGAAACCCAGAAACTATGGGTCATCGTGGGCCCTTCTATCTTCGCTCGCATTTCCTCTTTCACCATGAACGTCGTAACCCAAGCCTTCGCCGGTCACCTGGGCGAGGTTCCTCTTGCCGCCATGTCCATCGCCAACACTGTCATCGTCGGCTTCAACTTCGGCCTCCTCGTACCTTCTAAAATCCGAGCAACTTCCAACAACCGTCCGTTTTTCACTTTAATTGTTCTTTCTCTAACGATTTTCTTGAAACAGCTGGGAATGGCAAGCGCGTTGGAGACGCTGTGCGGGCAGGCGTTCGGGGCAGGGAGGCATCGCATGCTGGGAATATTCATGCAAAGGTCATGGATTGTTCTGTTCCTGTGCTGTTTTTTGCTGCTGCCCGTGTACGTGTTCGCTGCTCCGATATTGAAACTGTTAGGACAATCAGAAGAGGTGGCAGAGGAGTCCGGGATTGTGGCACTGTGGCTGATACCCCTTCACTTCAGCTTTGCGTTTCAGTTCCCTTTGCAGAGGTTTCTGCAGAGCCAGCTGAAGGCAGGAGTAGTGGCATGGGTTTCCTTGGTGGGTTTAGTGGTTAATGTGGTAACAAGTTGGCTCTTTGTGTATGTGCTGGACTTTGGGGTGGTTGGTGCGGCCATAGCTCTGGACATATCGTGGTGGGTTTTGGTGTTTGGGATGTACGGTTACGTGGTTTGTGGGGGATGTCCTTTGACTTGGACTGGTTATTCCATTGAAGCCTTTTCGGGACTCTGGGAATACCTCAAACTCTCTGTTGCTTCTGGGGTCATGCTCTGGTATGCTTATACGCTTCTTTAATTTACTTTCTACGACGGGTTGAAAGAGAGAAATCACATGCGTCGCAATGTAAGTTGGGTTTGTTAATATTGCAGCTTAGAGAACTGGTACTACAGGATACTCATACTGATGACTGGATATCTGAAGAATGCTACAATTGCTGTGGATGCCTTGTCCATATGGTAATAGAACTTTGTTATACTTTGTAGCTTCGGTTGCTCTGTTTTTGTCCACCTTGCACAAGAAGCAGCATGTGACGGTCGGATTTTGTTTTCGCAGCATGACCATCAACGGATGGGAACTCATGATTCCTCTGGCTTTCTTCGCCGGTGCTGGGTACCGTTTTCATCCTCTTAATTACTCTTTTTCTTCGCTCGCTTCTCCCCCTAAGACTCTAATGGCATAGGATTGTATTAAAATGCACAAGAGCCAACAAGTGCGTGAAACTGTAGGATATGTTGAATAAGTGAGGGATAAGGGGGAATACGAAGTTTTAATAAAAACATACATTCTATAAGTTTCTGGGTTTGATTTTTAAATTAAATAATTCGGCGGCCGAATAAATTCTTTCACCAACGGCCACCCACTTTTCAGAATTTATGTGGCGTTATATTTCACATCATCAAAGTAATTAGAAGCTAACAGCAGAAACAGGGTGGCCTTGGGTCTGGCTTAAACATCGAATCACAATGTTATTAGTGGATGATGTTCATCAGGGTGAGGGTGGCGAACGAGCTGGGAAGTGGGAATGGAAAAGCGGCAAAATTTGCGATGCAGGTGTCAGTGACAGAGTCATCGGTGATCGGGCTTTTCTTCTGCGTCATAATAATTGTATTCCACCATCAACTCGCCTCCATCTTCACCTCCGTTTCTGATGTGCTTCAGGCCGTCGACCACATTGCTTACCTCTTAGCCATCACCATTCTCCTCAACAGTGTTCAGCCCGTCTTGTCTGGTATCCATCCAAATCCACCCCCTACTTCATTCACTTATAACCAGAAACTGGTGATGAGGAAATGTTTGATCTGTTAAAATGCGATGGCGCAGGAGTGGCAGTGGGTTCGGGGTGGCAGGCCACGGTAGCATATGTAAACGTAGGATGCTACTACGTTATTGGGCTCCCACTTGGATTCTTGTTGGGCTGGGCCTTCAAATTGGGTGTTCAGGTATCATCGTTTTCCATGTCTCCGCTGCTTTTTTCCAAATACGTGACAACTCATTTGACTGTGTTAAGGCATGCTCTTCACAGGGTATATGGGGCGGCATGATCTTTGGGGGAACCGCCATTCAAACCCTCGTACTCTTCATCATCACCGCACGATGCGACTGGGATAAAGAGGTCATAGCCCCTCTCTTCTGGCATCAGCCTGCCATTTTTTGTTTTCTGGGAATTGATTTTTGACTTTGCTTTCTTGAATTTTCAGGCCGATAAAGCTAATGCTCGAGTTAACAAGTGGTCAAGCTCTAGTCCACGCTGATAATCAATTACAATCTCATTTTAACGCCATGTTCCCTCCATTCCTCCAACATTGTAATTCAAAGTTGCCATTGTTCATTTGCCTCCGATGCGGATTGCTTTTCATTAGTTTGCTGTTCATTATTTATTTCCCGATCGTGGCTTACGTGGGAATTGCGAGAACAAAATCAACGATAATGAAAGTCCCTGATTGCAAAATTTATGACGTGCCGGGAACTGCCCCAAGTATCACAGTATACTGCTGCGTCCGATTAATTATCAAATTTTTAATGGTCAGCCAACTCTAATCAAAAGACTCATTACCATTTCATTCTTTTTTGGTGTCAAATCGCCGCTTCGTTTAATAGTACGTGTCGTTGCGTATGATCGACCATTTAATTAGAATAGCTAAGGCACAAAGTCAGAGCTTAAAAAAACTTATAATAGTGCTAGGGGCTAATCACTAATCACTCGCGTATAATCCAAGACTTGAATATTTCATTACAAAAACAATGTCAATAACCTGTAACCATTAATAAACAAAAGGCAACCAAAAAGAAAAAAATCCTTCCTCTTTTCCCTGCTCTAACCACATGGGGAAGCTTTTTATGGTACCTTACCCCGGTTCCCGGCGTGATGGAAAAAAATCATATCCTATTCTATCAATACACATACTGAGGATCGAAAACTCAGGTGAAATGTTTTTAACGACTATTTACACAAAGCAATCAAGAAGCCACCCGCTAACCAAAAAAAGTCTAAAGCAACTTCTTTTGAGGCCCAAGGAAAAAGTGAAAAGACAAAAATAGGCATACCTTTGGGATCCGGTGAAGTCTACCGTTATTATCCGACCGTTGGAACCATTCGAGGCAACTGGGTCGCAGGAACCCGAATCCATTGTCCCGCTTCTAGAAACGGGTTGTTAGACCGAGTCAACTCGCTCGCCTCGTCTCTCCTGCTCGGCTTCACCGTCAGCCACCTCCCTTCTCTCTCCTCCTTCTTCGTCGCCACCTTCGTCTTTGTCTGCTCAATTAACTCCCAGAAGCCGTCATTTCTTTTCCTGTTCACAAACAATAGTACCAATCCTTCCTTGCTGTCCTGCAATCTTGTAAAATCACGCACCAACTCTGCCATCTCGCCCACCTCCAAATCCTCCACCCTGTCCCGCAGTTCTTCTACCCTCAAGAAAATTTCATATTGAATAATTCTATAATCTTCACCCACTAATCTCACCATTTCATAAACCAAATCGTTCCTCTGAAGCTGTAATGACTCTGGCACTCGACTTATCTGCTCTACAAAACCTACAAGAACATCTATTTTATGAAACAATTCCGAATTAGACAGCCCCAAAGTCTTCCTATCATGCGTGCCTTTCTTGGCATTCTTGACGTTGATGCTCGAAGATGAGCTCAAGTAGTAACCCAAGACTCTAGAAACCCATAGACTCTGTTCTAGAACACCAGCGTACCATCGAACCCAAGACGACAATTCCAAGGATTCGACGTCGGAGTCGTCGCGAAAGGCGGAGAGGTTGAGGATATTCTGGCCATCATAGGAAGGGTAACAAGCGAGGTGGTCCCTGAGAGTGAGAGGTCCCCGGACGATGACGTTGTGTAATGTGAGGAGGCATTTGAGGGCCACCGCGGCGCTGCGTGTGCGGTGAAGTCGGTCGATGAGAGCGTTGATGCAGGCACGCGGTAGAAGGTGAGAGCCGCTGCTGGCCACGGAAAAGACGGCGAGGATTCGGGCCTCCGACGGAGGAGTTGAGAGGCTGTGGGTGGTGGCACGGAGGATGGAGACGCGAACAGTAGACACGTGGCGTCTGAGGGATAGCGATGCTGCGAAAACTGAGGCTTTGTCTTTGAGAATGCAAATGAAATTTCTGACCCTCTTTTTCTGCGCCATGAGGAAAAGAATGCGAAGGAGATGAAGACTCGGAAATGATATGGCGTGGGGGCACGGAGGCCCTGCATTTTATTGGCACAAAACGGAGTCAGGTAGCCAGATCCGCGCACTGAGTCACGGCTTCGGAAAAGGCAACTCCATTTGTCTAATAATGTCAATAATCAATAAATAAATATAAAAAATAATGACTTTCATTAAGTAAAGATATTTGGTACAAAGACAAGGAAATAAAATCACAATTGATCAGCTCAGCGGCGCGTTTACCTTGTGTTTGTTGACGCGGGGAGGCCATGGAATTTTCGAAGACCACTAAGCATGGGGTTTTTTTTTTTTTTCAGGCCTCGTGAGGCTATTTTTTTCAATGCCAATGCAAGGCTCCTTAATTTGAACATTTCAGTTGGCATAAGAAAATTGAACATTTCAATTATTACCACTTCGATTAAAGTGATTTGTTGCCTTTTCTTTTCCTCCAAGTAACTGTCCCCGCTTTTCTTTATAAAAACCTATTATTGAGCCTAATTTCAACCCATTGCTTTTCATATTTGGAAATTATATACCATTTTCAATCTTTAATATAAGATCCTGTTTGATTTTTATTTTAGTTCTAAATATAAGATCTCAATCCACTTTGTCTCTCGTATTTATATTTTTTTTTCAAAACAGTCCTTCTAACAATGATAGTTTTAGTCAATACACTTGATTAGCAAAGATATTTTAGAAAAGACAACATCTATTTAAGACAAATAATTAACTCAACTTACTTTCTTAATTTCTTCAAATTAGTCAATTGGTTCTTATAATTAGAACTAGAGGTAGTAATATTTATGATAAGATCGATCATGATTGGTGGTGTTTGTCATTGACAATTGAGAGACGCATTGGAAACTTTATATTGCAGCTGCGCTGACAATGATAGAGGAAATAAGCATCTCATTAAACGGGAAACCCTGCGTGAACCCCTTCGTCCTGGACGATGTTGTCTTCAAAATTCGAAAAGCCAGAGTCATGCATTTCAAATGAAGCTTGCTCTCAACTGCTCAATATTTTATACGAGAAAACTTGTTAGAAGAAGGCTTATCGATGAAAAAAAAAAATACTTTTTTTAGTGCAGTATAGTTAGTATATATGTGTGGTAATTTCGTTAAATTTCTTAGTAATATTTCAAGACACAAATGACAAGGGTTTTGTTTGTAACAATTGTCATGATGAAGTTTATATTTCCTATCAAGAATTACTTGATGCGTTTTTTTTTTTTTGAAAAATACTCAAAGCATTAACAAACCACATCTTAAAAAATATTGTATGGATAATCTTCACCCAAAATACATATCAAAACTCATCAAATATTATTAAGAACAAAATTTAAATAATTCGCAAGATTTAATTTCACTTTACTTTAAATTTGATTAAAAATTTAGATCAACATCACTCGCACAAATTCTTTTGAAATATAATGAGTAACCTTCATGTGATTTCTTTTAAAATATATAAAATGTATCACTAACTTCCGTTAAAGCGAGTTTTGATACACCTTAAAAATATTTTCTCCAACTCATACTAAAATCTACTAGAAAGGGAAATTCCTAATAAAAATTTTTATGCATAGATAATATTTTTTATATGGTGTGATTTATCATTTAGTCCAAACTATTAGATATTAAGTGTATATATATTGAAAAATATCAATGCAAATGATATTGATAAAATGCCGAATAATTAAAATAATAAGAATATAGAAAATGCAATGTAAGAAAGTGACAAGAAAAATAAACGAAAAAAAATGAAGAAACGGGAAGAGAGAGAGGAAGGAAGCAAAGGTAGCCCTGAGCATGTTGGATCATAGGCAAGTGGGCTTACACGATAATTTTTTGTTTTTGTCGGTATACGCTTACACGAGAAAATTGTTACAAACGCCGGTAATCGAAGCCTAGGGAACCATTTCCAAAAAACTACTCTTCTGGTCCTTATTATAAGACCCAATTTGACTTTTTATTTGGTCCTAATTATAAGACCCAATCCATTTTGTCTCTTATATTTATGCATTTTTTTCCAAGATAATCCTTCTAATAATGATAGTTTTATCCAATATACTTAATTAGCAAGGATATTTTAGGAATGACAACACTTATTTATTATAAATAACCAACTTAATTTACTTCCTTAATCTCCTCAAATAAATCAATTGGGTCTTATAATTAGGACCGGAGGAGTATTTTTTAATATAAAATGCAAAAATTTAGATAAAATGAGTTTCATCTGATACTTTTTAAAGATGAACAAATATATAAGTTTGATGGATCGATTGATTTCTTCAGTTTTCATGTTTAATTATTATACTATCTCCGGTCCTTAATATAAGACCCTATTTGACTTTTATTTTAGTCCTAAATATAAGACTCCAATTCACTTTGTCTCTCATATTTATACATTTTTTTACAAAGTAACCCTTATAACAATGATAGTTCTAATCAATACATTTAATTGGCAAGGATATTTTAAGAAAGACAATACCTATTTAGGACAAATAACTAACTTAGCTTACTTCCTTAATCTTCTCAAATTAGTCAACTGGCTCTTATAATTAAGACCGGAGGTAGTATATTATTCCCCTATCAATCTAGCACTCCCCATTTTTTCAAACAACTTCTTACTTCGAAATTTCCCCTTCTTTCCAAAAGGCAGTTTTGCGAATACTGCTGTCATGTTCTCTTGATGGGTTATTCTCTTCATCCCGATGATGCACCTCATCGTAATGGGGCGATCCATACTTCACTCGACATTCATCAGAGATAAACAATACTCATCCGGTCTTTAATATAAGACCCATTTAACTAATTTGATTAGATTAAGGAAGTTAGGTAAGTTAGTTAATGATAAAAAATATGACACAATTTTCCTAAAACACTACAATCATCTTTCTTAATATCTCATCTTCCTCTTTTACTTGATTATGGTTGAGAGAGTATCTATATGGGTAATTTAGAGAAAATTGATAAATATGATAAATGGGTCTTATATTTAGGACCAAAACCAACTCAAGAATTGGGTCTTATATTAAGAACCGGAGGAGTACTATGAAGTTCCTCACCCTAGCTTTAATAGGATTTAGAGCAATATGCATTACACAGACCGTGCGCAGGATCTCACAGGACATAGTACCGCAAATAACGAGCGACGTTTTATCTACTTTGGATATCCCTGAGCCTGATCACAACTCCATGGAAAACCAGAATCCCGGATCTTGCAGGAAACATGCTTAATAATACACACAGAAATGACAGGATTCTGAGCATGATTGATCATATTGAGGTTTACATTTATTACTACCACAGTGATGATTATAATCAAACTGTGGAGGCATCTATGGAGAAACATCAACATAATAATGTGTCGGTTCCTGCCACTAATTCATCCACTGAGGGATTGGAAAGGGTAGAGCTTGAACAAGTACAAGGGCTGCATCGTTGTGTGATTTGCTTGAGAGTTTTCAAGGTGGTAGAGCAGGTATTCGCACGCGTTGCTCCCGTTTCTTTCATAGAAATTGTTTTGTTCGTTGGCTGCATCGGACGGATGATGGTCCCTTGCGTTGTTTTCAAATGCCTACCATTAATATATTGATTTGCTGATTCTTTTTTTTTTTAAATAATAACCGAGTACAACTTCAGAAAACCACAAAACACCTAACCAAAAGGGAAAGGACTACCCCCTGACTCCTTTGTCAAAGACGGCCTCTTAATTAAAAGGAGATTGTTGAGGATGCAAAAATTACCCACTGATTCAAATCGCCACTTTTTTCCCCCTTTCAATTGCTTTTATATCGCTCTTTTTTATTTGTTTAATTATTTCTTAAAATATGGTTTGCTCCTAGAATTGGCTTAATGGTCCGTTTTAGAGAAAGTAACAAAAAGTGGCAGTGGGGATGAAAATAAGCAGAAAAAAAAAACCCTGAAATTATCACTTTTCAATTCAAGTACCTAAGAGTTGAAAATGACGGAGAAAAAAGTAATGCTTGATTAGATATTTTGCAGATATAATTAAATGACTAAAATGCCATTGTATTAGATTTGACAAAAAAAGCTATCAAACTTGTTATTATCAGTACATTTCTCGTTTTTATTATTCAACACTTATCATTATCAATTCATAATTTGTCATTGTCAATGTATTTCTTGTCATTTGCTGTTCGACGCTTATAATTGTTAGTTCAAAATTTGTTAGTAAGATTTTTGATATAAGGATATTTTAGTTATTTAACTACATTTGTAAAATATCATATCAGATTTTTTTTTTCATTTTTAATTTTTAGATACCTGATTTGATATGATATTTTTCAGCCTTTTTATTTGTTATTTTCCCAAATAAGTAAACTCAACATATAATGTAAGGGCTAATATAGCTGAAGAGAGGTCATTGATCTATTATGCAGGCCCAATCAGCAATAGGTACTTCAAAGCCTTTTTAGTTTGACCCAATCTATTCTATGACTTGATTATGATTTTAACTTTCAACTTGCGCCGAAACCCCCCAAAAAAAAAAAAATTCAACTTCTATTCAGCGTGGCTAGCAGTACTAATATAACATCTCATTTAATTTTTATTTTGATCATAGATATAAGACCCTAATCTATTTTATCTTTCATATTTATGTTTTTTTTAAGATAGTATTTTTAATAATAATAATTTTAATTAATATACTTGATTAGTAAAGATATTTTAAAAAGGACAACAACCATTTATAACAAATGACTAACTTAACATATTTTTTCAATATATTCAAATTAGCTAATTAACTCTTATATTTATATTTAGGATCAGAAAAATAGCATAATTTATAAACTCAATTCACAACGACTTTTCCCCATAATGCATGAGCGCGTGTGTCGTGCGCGTTAAAAAAGTATCAGATTCTCCTCCCTTTCCCCATCCAGTAAAAATAAACGTTGTTACGAATATAATAATATTTTTATGGATATCAAATTATCTCCTATTATCTCTTATCATTTTTAATACTACCTCCAATCTTTAATATAAAATCTTATTTAATTTTTATTTTAGTTTTAAATATAATATCTCAATTTACTTTGTCTATCATATTTATGTATTTTTCTCAAAAGTAGTCTTTTTAACCATAGTAGTTCTAGCCAATAAACTTGATTAGCAAAAATATTTTAGGAAAAAAAACATTTATTTATTGCAAATAACTAACTTAACTTCTTTTTTTAATCTCCTCAAATTAGTTAACTAGTTCTTATAATTAGGACCAGAAATAGTATCTCTCATTATATCTATATCCCACAATTATCTTCTATTGTTAAATAATTTTTAGATTTTGCCAAAGATGTAAAACTGTACATATAAATAAAAGCTATATATATATATATATATATCATGTATTCAATATCTTAAATTAATGGTATGAGAAATACTTTGACTTCCATTCTTTTTAATTCTCTTTTCTAATTTTCTACTTTTTTTTAAGTTTTATAACAAACATGAAAGTCATTTGTTAATTAAACAATGAGGAAAACAAATAAACTTGTTCCCAAAAAGTCAAAGTAAGCTGGCATGATTAATATTAGAAAGTCATAACCTGATAACTGATTACATTAGGAAAGATCCTCCTTCGAAAATTGGAAACAACTTAGACATTAAGCTAGCTCGTCGAAATTGTTCCTTTTGTTTTGGTATTTGAAAATTATATTTCCTTAGTTTAGTTGAATTGTTGATTTTTGAAGCATGTGTAGGTACGATTCTATTTTCTTTATTACTGTTCGTATTTTATGAAGTGCTTGTGATATAATTTGAACTGATATTTAATACTCCTCCGGTCCTTATTATAAGACTCCATTTGACTTTTTATTTGGTCCTAGTTATAAGACCCCAATCCATTTTGTCTCTTATATTTATGCATTTTTTTCCAAGACAATTCTTCTAATAATGATAGTTTTAGCCAATATATTTAATTAGCAAGGATATTTTAGGAATGACAACACTTATTTATTATAAATAACCAACTTAACTTACTTCCTTGATCTCCTCAAATAAGTCAATTGAGTTTTATAATTAGGACCGGAGGAGTATTATTTTTATTTTGCGTAACCTTTATGAAGAATACTTATATTTGTTTTTTTGCAACAAAACAAAAAATTTAAATGAATTAAATTTCGGGTGCTCACTAAAGTAAGGACATGTTTTTAGGTTTAAAGAACACTTATAGAAATATTTATAAATCACCCACTAACAAAATCCTCAAATCAGCAATGAGATTTGAAATCATGACCTTATGAGTTATCAACCAATTTTTTTACTAAATAGATCAGCTCTTTTTTATTACATATATTTGTTATGCACGCAATTATAATTAACACTGGGCACAATAGTCACGCTTATCTTCGACCCCTGGGCCACTAAGGGGGTGTTTGGATAGAAACCAAACCATGGTTTCAGAAGTGCTTTTACGGATTACGAAGTAAATATGTGGAGGAGATTACCTCGTTTTGCGGAAAAGTGCTTTTGAAATCATGGTTTTGGGTTTCCCAAACACCCCCTAAATCAAACTAACCGTCCATTCCGAGCTAAAGATAAAAGCGGGCTGGCCTTTCATGAGTATGATTCGGGACATGACAAAAAATTATAAGCTGAAAATAAAGAAATATTATACCTGATTCTTAATATAACAACTAATTGAGTAATTCTAATACGTTAAAAAATTTGTAAAATTAATTATTTGTAATAAACAAATATTATTTTCTTTAAAATATCCTTACTAAACTAACTAAACTACTTACGACACATAGTATGAAAGAAAGAATTGAAGCAGGAATGCATGTGCATACCTCTAATATATATATAGTTTACGAGATCCTTTTGTGTTTTCAGTGCTTAATTAAAATGATCCCACATGTGCGCCAATGCTTTTACCCTACAGTTTCAAATGTAAAATAAAGTGAAAGGAAAAGATTGCATGACTTATGAACGCGAAACCTCAAATTCACAGGCAAAGTTGGTGAGGCCCAGAGTATGAAATGAATGTAATTAAGCTAGCGATGCGTCTAATCCTGCCTTGGCTCTGCACATAACCGATCCGTTGATCTTTCCTCCAAGTTTTCCATGGCCGCATGTGGCTTCTTGCTGCTCTCCCTCGACGAAGCATTCCTATGGAGGAACCCCCACCAGTCGGACCGCCCCTCCCTCCTGAACCGCTCGAACCGCCCAACTCCACTCCCCACGCTTCTTGTCCTGTAACCACTTCTCTCACTGCTCATTCTCTCAAATGCCGGCCGCATAAGCCCCTTCCTCACCTCCTCCGGCAATCTTAAAGTAAACCTCTCGCGGTCCTCCACCGCAGAAACCAGCGAGTGTCCTGTCGAGTGTGATCGTGGAAACAAGCTCGCAATCCCTGACCTCGGCGGAGGATTCTGATAGACGATGTCTCTGTTCTTGGGGGATGATTCACCTACTTGTTGATCATGTTGGATGATATCGCTGGCGTGTTGTTGGTGCTCGGATTCAGCGGGAGAGTCGGGCATCTGGACGGCGACGAAGGAGACTTCTCCCGGTCTGGGAACGAGGTTGGCCCGACAAACAGGGCAGGTAGAGTGAGAGGATAACCAGAGGTCAATGCAACCGGGGTGGAAGACGTGACTGCACTTGGGAATGAAACGGAGAGTCTCGTGGTCTTGAAACTCGTTCAAGCAGACGGCGCATTCCAGAGTACTTCTCCCAATTTTAAGGCCCTTGACGGTGGAGTAGACGAAGGTGGGGAAGGTGCGGATGATTTCGGGGTCAAGGCCGCGGGGGTGGCGCTCGCTGTTCCCAATCGGGAAATCGTCGGTTCCTCGGAATCGTCGCTCTGCGCATTGACGAGAGTAGACGGAGAGGAAGCCCAAGGCGAAGAAGACGACGATGAGGATGACCAAAACAATGGCCATGGATTTATCGAACCGGAGCTGCGATGATGAATCGGCCGGAGGAGAGGAAGGAGGGGTTAATGTGGGCTGTGCGGAGGAAGGGAAAGAGGAGTGAAGAAGAAGGAGGAGGGAGAGAAGAAGGGCGACCATGGTCAGAGGGAGGAGGAATCTGCCGGGAGATGAGCATAACAGCTGATCATGAGAGCAAACTAGACTCTAAACTTGGACACTGTTGGTGAACTGTGGGAGGCGAATCGAAGGCAAAATGGTAGGGGATATCAACAAAACAACGCGAGCATATTCTGGTTGACCTGGCGAATGGCGATGCAGGAATGTCGAAGATTTCAAGGTCACAAGAGACGGAGGATATGATGAAAGGGTCGTGCTGAGGTCTGCTAGACGAGAAAGGTTGTGGTTCTGAGTCCCGACTCTTGAAAATCATAGTGTGGCCCACCAAGGTCTATCTTAATAGAAGCAGCAACCGAGTTTTGCCAACTGGGGAGTTTTCGGAGAGCTAGCCAGCCAGCATCCTTTCTCAGCTCCAACAAACGAATGAAGCTTGGGAAGTTAAGAGTATAGACGTTTAATAATAATAACAAACGTTTAATTTAGCAATAATAACAAACAACTGATTCGCATTTGCATCTCTCTCTCTCTCTCTCTTTCCCCCGCATTTTACAAATGACAATCCAATTTCGTCTCTCGACGTCGTTTCTATTACATTTTCCCCTGAGAAATTAAACCAAATACAATCACCCACAAGGCAAAACCAGCCGATCGATCGGAAATGAGAAAGCGAAAAGGGCAAAAAAGCAACTAATAAAAAAAGAAATATCAGACATTCGATTTCATCCCGCGTGTCATATTGTTTAATATATGCCCACACCGTTGAATGTCTGGTCGCGACGCTCCAGGCAATGAGAAGGCTACAAAAATGGCTCCATTGTGCGTAACGAAAGGATCATGTTTCTCCGCTTCGTTCTTCTTCCATCTACCTTCTCGGTCCCATTAATCTTCTTTTTTTAACTAATCGATCATGTCCAACAACCTATATATATACGTGCGTGTCAAGTTCATTATAAAATGTCAGATTTTGTATTCATGGGTCAAGTCGTTTGTGAACTCGATCTGTTTCTACTGAACTGTAATCTATAATATTGGAGCCAACTTATTATTTAATCTGAATCTTCATAGAATATATAATGAATCTTATTGAAGTCTAAACCTTCGCATTAAATCCAACCAAACAGTTCAGCGCCTCAGAATTTGACTTATTCTCTGAACTATCCAGCATTAACCCAACTCTTCAAGGCTTTGAACTGACACATAATAGCAATATTAATCGTTCATGATTGTGAAGATTTTGTCCCTTTTGGCTAACCATGTTAACCCAAAACTACTAAACTATTTATATCCGCCCTTCGTCATCCCACACAAGACTCTCTGAAAATATATAATAATAGGAAATAAGGTGTTCATTAATAAGGTGTATATGCTTATTTTCGTTCACCGATGACTTTGTCCATTCATCCCTATCTCATTCTAATTTGGGCACTAAAGATATATCAGAATCTCTTGCGAGTTGTGATCCGAATATTCCCATTATATTTTTCACAAGGTATACATATATATATATATTGAAACCAACATATGATATATTGCTAACAACTATTTTAGTTGTTAATTGACACCGTGAGGATAAAATAACATGGACGAAGTCATAATGAGAAAATATTTAGTCATATATAATTATCTATGATTTGCCGCCAATTCATCACCTCTCAAACCAGATCATTTTGAGCAAGGTTATGTAATCAGCAAGATCACTTACACTTTGCTGTGGTCTAACTTAATTAAGCAGTTCATTTTGAGCCCTCCCAACGAATCCAATTTTACGCCGAAAGCACAAAAAAGAGGAACTTACAAAACAACCAACTCACATGTGAGACGCGAAACAAATTAAATCTTCATTTTTCATTAATTAGTTGGTACGCAACGAATATCATACACACACACACACACATATAATTCCCACATAAAGTTAGAATTAGACTGTTATGCGTACGAAGGACAAGCTGGCTTCTTCATTCAGTTATCTGAATGAAAATACTATCAATGTAGGAAGTTCTCTCAGCGTGTACGAAATCGTTATGGTAAATAGATAAAGACCGACGAAAGGTGTGCTGTTTGAATATTGATTCGTAGAGGAGGGGGGAGCAATAATAAATATCCTTATCATAGTAAAGTGAAAAATCAATATCATGACATTGTTGGAAACACCTTGCGTGCATAGGAAACTATATCATGACTCATGAGGTTGATTACATTAAAATGAAATTCAACATGGGGGGTGATGCGAATAAAGTTCCGTGAGACATCAATACATGGAAGAAGATTTAGAATCGAATGATCAATCTGGGATTCTAACACATACATTTTATTGGAAGATATGGTTGAAGAATAATTAACTATCAGAGTTACGTTGGCCTCAGAGGATTCAGTGCTGTATATACTATAAGATGATTAAAAGGAAAGGCTCGATCGGTATTCGTTTGCCACCATGATATGGATCGATGTGTCCGTCTGTATCCAAAATTCAAAGTCCACGCCCTCATTTTAGTACTGATAGCGACCAACCTTATCCCATTGATATTTATCTTACTATAATATTACTGATAGCTTGTTGGGTTAGGGAACGTGTATCTCGTATATATGCTTCATCTGCATTAAAATAAACACTACGCCCGCTGTATCGTGTGTTTCTCCTATTATTTGGACTTCCATGTTTTGTATCTTTACTCCCCAACAGATGGGGCTGTTGTAACTGGCCTCCCTTAGCTTCTTTTTTATATACCGACGACATTAATTTAATTGCACGAAATAAGATAAATTAGTTAAATTAATGCAAAACGAAAGATAAATTAATGGAATTAAACAATCTTTTTATATATGCTTCAATGCCCATTTCCCAGCTGTCGCAAACCGATGCAATGCAAACACATTCATGGTAATTAACTTTCCCACTGTCATTATTTGAGGCGTTTCGACAATTGATTCAATCAAAACAAAAAGATAGGATTACCTCAAATCCTTAATATAATATAACATCGAGTTAACTAATTTGAATGGAATAAGTAAGTTAAATAAATTAGTTAACCCTGGCTACTCTAAGAGCAATTTTAGGGGGTGAGAACTAACTCCTTCCATTATTCGATTCGGTTTTTCAGGTTTTGAAGGCGGTCGATGAGTTGACTGAAAAACATGAAGAGTACTCATGAATCATGACAATAATTTTTTTTTTGGCCAACAATGAATCATGATAATATTAAATAGTAAGGATAACATTTTAGTAATTATTATACGGCAGATCATATGTTAAATTTAGCGATTAAGTGATGCACACAAAGTTGATAAAATCAAATGACGTGTTTCTGTTTTTTAGATATAATATTATCCTGTCACCTAAAAATGTTTTTGATGACCTTTGAATACATTTAAATAATGATCAGTCGCTTGAATTAAAAAATAAAAAAGTGGAAAATATTTATATAAATGAAAAAGTTGACCAACTGGAATGGGTATGATGGATATTTGCACACAACAAAACACTGTTTATTTAGAAGGATTCAAAAGGCTTGTGGATTATTAATCGACTGATTGGATTTGGATTGGAGGCTGACGAAAAAGGCGGCCTTTTCTCCCCTTACTTTCCATTTTTTGGGTTTTGCGAGGGTAGGAGCTCGACCCCAAATTGCAAATTAAGGGATGGGGCTCAAATTGATCCGGTTCTGTTCCCTCAATGTGGGGCCCAAATTAAATACAGCCCATAGTACCATCACACGCGAACAACTGGACCCGAGTAGCAAAGTAAACCCTGCCCCAGAGACCCTAACTTATGTCTCTTCTTTTTTATGAAAATAAATGAACGTGATGCGTTTCAAAAGTCATATATATATATATAATAATAATAAAATGTAAATTCTACATGTAATTAAGGTTATGTTACATTAAAATCATCTAAGGTGTTGTATTTTAGTGAACTATAACGACTAAATGAATGAAAATAAAATTATTCGCATGAATTTAAAATTAAGAATTTAGAAAATTTAATCGCCAAATTTTAAAGGTCACAAAAAATTAGCTAGCGTGATATTGCGCCCACACTCCAACCGCTGGAATCATCTGCGTGCACACAAGCGCACTACAAATAGACGTTGTTTCGGGAAATAATTGGCTTTTCTATTCTATACACGAAGATGTTTTCTTTCTTTCTAGTCTATTTAAGGATCGCATGGCTCTTAGGGATATTTCTTTATTTTCCAGTTTGCCGTCGGATCAGGTTTGCTCCTTCACTGTTATACTCTGATGATGGAATATGTCTCCCTTTATAAATAAAGAAAAGGCCTTTCTATTTTAAGCTTAGCTTGAAAAACACCACCCTCATTGTTCTGTCTTCTTGTTGGTATTCTCTGTAGTTTGGCCAGCCAGGTACGTTTATGCCGAGAAAGAATGTGAGATAATAATTAGAGGAGGCAAATAACATATAAGCTGAAAAAACAACATACTACCCTCGGTCCTATTTACGAGACATTGTTTGTAGATTATAAATTATGAGGTTTTATAATTAGGACCAGAAATAATATAGTGAGAAAGACAATCCAAGGGGATAGAAATGCTGTTGACAAAGTCAACGGGTGTGATAAATATTTAATGTGATGAGTAAAGAGGGCTGATTCATTGCATAGAATGCAAGAGGACAATAGCGATGAGAGAAGCAAATCCCAGAAATTAAGTAAGGAACTCAAATTAACAAATTTCTATGACAAAAAAGAAAAACAAATTTCAGGATGACGATTCTTCACCCTAATTAATCCAACCATATGGGGACAAAGCTGTGACGATGCCACTCCAATAATACAGTACATGAATATAAACAAATTTGTACCGGGTTATCTTTAATTTGGTTACAGGAGTCGTCAAGCGTGAAGGTGAATTCGTCTGATTCCTTCCACCTGGGCCTCATGGGGATTAGCCTTCGAAAATTTCATTTAAATATTAGCTTAATTTCTTCAAGTCATGCATGCTTAAATATATAGTTCCCTATACGAAGTATTGGGATTTAGAAGCCTGGCTTTAATTAAGAACATTCGAGTAACGAGCCTTAATTATAGGTCTACGGCATGCCAAATTCACACACACACACACACACACACACACACACACAAACATGTATATCGAGTTATCGACCGACTTTAGCTTGCTTTGAGGTTCGTTTCCGTAA